ATCTTTCCATTTCAGCCAGATTTTTTTTCAAAGTGTAATTCCAAGACTACAGTAATAAGTGGACTCTAGTAGTGACGGTATACACCAACGTCTGTAGTTTTCCCTACGTGGACGGGCTGTGTAAGTGTCGTTACTGGTCTTTAGGAGGCAGTAGTGAGTACAGGTAGTTCTCACACTGTAAGTGTCCCTGTGGTTGTGTTTGTAGGTCAGCAGTCTTCAGTATGAGATGCTGCTACTGACGGATTCCATTGCCAAAGAAGGGGGCTGCTGGGAGCTGCGACTGCGTTGTGGTGAGCAGAACTCGGGCTCTTTCTTACTTCAAGAGCTTCTCTCATGATGCAAGTCTTTTGACTGCTTTTGTTTTTTTTGCTGATGTTGCGTGTTCCTGTGAGGATAGGGTTGTACATACAGCACCAATAAACAGTTTCTTAATAACCGTGAGACTGCAGCATATTGATTTGCCAGTGTATAACAGCATTTGAAAGTGTGCTTTTCTTAGTTCACGGTATGCTTAGCTTCTGCGCCAGATGATCATTTCAAAGTAAGAAAAAAATATTTTGAGTCTGGTACAACACAGTCACTACAGTTGTGCAGGCATTGTCTTCAGTGTGTGACATGCGACACTAATCTGATCTCCCCTGCTTCCTGCAATCAGCTCTCAGCCTGTTCCTTATGGCTGTGAATATCAAGACCCCAGTAGTGGTGGAAAACATCACCCTGATGTGCCTGAGGATCCTGCAGAAGCTCATCAAACCCCCAGCACCAACCAGCAAGAAGAACAAGGTACATATCCCACTCACAGGCATCCCAGCCCAAAGTGATAGATGACTAATACATGGCTGGGATTAATCAGTAACAGCTGTTTGTGTATTGTTCCATTTGAAGCATTGTTTCGTTGTTTGATGCTGTTTAACAGTTTTGAGGATTTTACTAAAGATCATTCAAAGTGAACATCCTTCTTTAAAATGGCATCTGAATTGCAGATATAGTGATAGAAAAGAAGAAAAGCCAGTCAGTGCATTTAATTCTTTTCATGCTTTCTCAGGTGGGAGTAAGCAGTCCGTTATAAAGAGCAAGTAAAAAACTACCAAATTCAAATCAAATATGAATATTTTTTAGTTTGAAACCTGCTCTGTTGAATCACTAAATACTATCTCTGATAAGAATGACAGGTTAAGCCCTGAAAGGAATTTTAAATGCTCATTTTTCTCCGATTCTGTTAGGATGCTGCTGTTGAATCTCTGACCACAGTCAAGCCCTACAGCAATGAGATCCATGCACAGGCCCAGCTCTGGCTCAAGAAGGATCCTAAGGCATCTTATGAGGCCTGGAAAAAATGTCTTCCAGCCAGAGGTAAACCATTTTAATGCCTTTTTTTATTGTCACTGAAATTAGAGGCTTTTGAGCCAATTTCAGGGGTTGGGGAAAGAGTGTGTTTGGATGCATGCTCATCCAAATTAGTACTTATACCTCAGTACCGAAGAATGCTGATGAGCCATTCTCTTGATTAATAAGTACGGTGTTTGCCGGGGGAGAGAGCTCTTTACGATGATTTCTATTTTGGCAGTAATTTCCTCGAGCCTCCCCTGCCCCACACGCCTCGGGTCCAGCCGCTGTGATCAAGGGGTGGGGCCGGAGGTCGTGTTGACGCAGATGGCGATTGTGTCTTGACAGGTCAGGAGAACATCGCCAAGCCCCAGAGCAAGGTGGAGGCGCGGCGCCAATACCTCATGGAGAAGTATGTGTGGAAATGGAAGCAGTTCATGAGCAAGAGGGGAAAGAGAACATCTCCTTTGGACCTTAAGCTGGGACACAACAACTGGCTGCGACAGGTAGCGTTAATATAAGATCACTTTATTGGCCATATACAATTTCTTGCATTAAGAATTTGAATTTTCGCATACCCCAGCTTGCTCTCCATGAGACACACAAAGACAGGGAGAGAAGCTAGGGGTCAGAGCGCAGGGTCAGACATTTATACAGAGCCCCTGGAGCTGCTGGGGTTAAGGGCCTTGCTCAGGGTCCCACCGAAGCAGGATTTCTATGCCAGCCACAGGATTTGAACCAGCAACCTTTCAGCCACAGTGCCACCACTCCGCCCACAGATGTGTCAAAGTCAGAGTGCTGTGTTGAATGTAGTAAAAACTTTCTAAAACTTAGACTTTTAGCTTTGTTCCAACTGTGTAAGGATTGCAGGTCATTAAGAGTTAGAAAGTTCGTTAATGTTTTTGCATATACATTTTTCTTGTATTCACTTTGCATAAAGAGGTGCTTAAAGAAATGTGGTATGGGAAAGCAGTTCCTCGTGAACTTTTACCGTAGTGGAATAGAAACTGTCCTCACTAGTGTTGTACATCAATACTGCAATGCATGACAGGCACACTACAAGGGGCTGTGGCCGTGGCACAGGACTATAGGACTTGCATTAATTGGTGAGATTCACCCCATCTGCTGTCGCAATAAAGCCCAATCCATCATTCAGGATCACAACCATCCCGACCACAAACTGTTCTCCCCCTTGCACTCTGGCAAGTGGTACTGCACTATTAAAGCACAGACCACTAGGCTTAAGAACAGATTCTACCCTACTGCAGTACGCATCCTCAACAGCTGACTGCTGTGCCTCAGACTCGGTACACATCTGCACTCTGCACCTTTTGCATGGTGTGCTATGTTTCTTTCTCACTACTACATACCTGTGATCTCAAAACATATTTATTGTTCCTGTTATTATGTTTGTAATTTGCTAGTAAGAATTCCAATGTACATGTGTATATGGCAATAAACTCCTCTACTGTACTCTTTGCATATGTGGCTGCTTCCGACTCTGTACTTTTTGAGTGCAACTATGTAAATGGCTGATGTTTTTCTAAAAACCGTTGGATGTAAGACTGGTGCCCGTGTTTTTGAAAACAATTTGTACTCAAATACCCAATTCTGTTGCACAGTCTGAGGGTGCTTGAGAAATGTTTTTAGGGCCTCTTTAGCTTTCAGGAGTAAGATGGCAGGCAGTCACCGTTTCAAGGGTTTGGTAGCAAATCACAGGAGTGTGCCTTTCGTCTTCCAGGTCCTCTTCACTCCTGCCACCCAGGCAGCCCGGCAAGCAGCCTGCACCATCGTGGAGGCCCTGACCACCATCCCCAGCCGCAAGCAACAAGTCCTGGACCTGCTCACCAGGTACTGCCCTGCTGCCAGACCTGCAAGGAGGAAACAGCCAGTGGCAGCTAAACCTGTTCAGAAAACAAGACCTTCTTGAACGTCTCCCATCTTTCTGCATGGTTGGCTTCTGCTTCTGATCTGCTCCTTGTGACCAAGTGGAAGCAGATGCGCTAGTGCACAAGTCTGTGTGTCCATCAGACTTCGGTGGTGTTTTGCAGATCTCTCCATCTTAGTGGAGATCTTTGCAGATCTGTTTTTGTTGTGAAGTGTCATGGAAGACTTCAAAACCTAAAGGTGTGGGCTGTTGGCATTCAGGTTGACATTTTTTTAAGCTTGTTTTTTTGCTCTTCTTCCAGCTACCTGGACGAGCTCAGTATCGCAGGGGAGTGTGCAGCTGAGTACTTGGCTCTTTACCAGAAGCTCATTAAGCCAGCCCACTGGAAGGTGTATCTGGCAGCTCGGGGAGTCTTGCCATACATTGGCAACCTCATTACCAAGGTATTTCAGTGCCTGTTAAATGCTGTCAGGGTTGTTAAGGTGTTTGCTAATCATTTCATTCCTTCCCGTCAAGAATTTGTCCACTGAGGATGCATTTTCTTTAAAGACCTAGGAGGAGATTTCAGTTTCAAGTTTCAAGGAGCTGATTCACACCAAAAATGAAAGCTAACTGTTACCAGCACTTCCTAGATTCTGAAACATTACAAGGTTGTGGGTTTGAGTAGAATGAATGACATGTAGTTTAAGACTATTGCAAGCTTAGTTGTGAGTGAAGGTTTTGATATAATTTGGCCTATCATTTTAGGTGATCTCATTTAAAATGAGTATACATTGCAGAGTTCTTCGTTTATTGATATATACGTGGGCTTGCCACACTTGTTCAGAATAACTGCCTGTAATAAAATGTGCAGAATTATCTTTATCTTTCCGAGGAAGTCTCCTTCGATGGGGCAGAAATGTTGAGGGAAGGAGGGAGGTCCTTGAGGCTGGTAATGTAGTGGATTTGTTTCTCTCCCAGGAAATTGCCCATCTTCTGGCCCTGGAAGAGGCCACTCTCAGCACTGACCTGCAGCAAGGCTATGCCCTCAAGAGTCTGACAGGTGAGGCACGCAGAGGACC